GGAAGGCTGAGGCGGAAGGATCGCCAGAGCTCAGCAGGTCGAGGCTGCAGTGGCAGGGAGCGGCCACTGCACTCCAGTCTGGGCGACAGAGTGAGACTCCAACGCAAAGAAAAAAAAATGCAGAGATGAGAAAAGGTAAAATAAGTTACTTCCTGATTCTTTGGGCTACCTCTATTGGGGGCTTTCTACTTTGGCGGACTACATTTAAACTTTTGGCAGAATCCAATCAGAATAATAATCTTGCAAACCAATCAGCAAATAGGACATGCAAACGAAATGATTATGCAAAACCATTGTGTGACATATAGGGCTAGGGGTAGCCCCAGGGCTATGGAAAATCCAATCAAATTGTAGGGTGCCAATGTTACCTTATAAGGAAGACAAAGGAGCTACAATGTAAAGAGAAATTGACAAAAGCATATAAGGCAATGCTCTGCTGCATTCCGGGCCCTGCCTTCGGATTGCTGAGCCAGTGTTGGCATGTATAACTGCTGCTTCCTAGCAAAGAAACCTTGGTTGCGCCATCTCTCTGTGGAAGATTCCTGCTACAGCCATGCCACTTTGTAAATGGGCCTGTGAAACACTCGGGTGGCTGGAAAGAGGGTGACATCCTTAAGACTGTCTATCTTGTCCATCTGATTACAGAGTGCCTACTCTGCAGATGTCAGACATTCTCTACATATGTTCTAGCAGTTATTTAACACTGGTTGTTGGCCATCTGCTCTGTCAGTTTGTTGATGCTTTAAAGGTGAATTAACCAGTCAGTACTCTCTCTCCGATTCTCCTTTTATCAGGCCCATGAATATGCTCCTATAAAGGCTGTGGGGTATTACAGTATAGACAAGTTTTTTTTTTTAATGGGGTCTATGTTTGCCCAGGCTGGTCTTGAACCCCTGGGCCCACACTATCCTCCTGCCTCAGCATCCAGAGGTATTTAACTCAAGTTATTTGTGTGTGTTGAGTCTCACTCTGTCGCCCAGGTTCGAGTGCAGTGGCACGCTCACAGCCACTGCAGCCTCGACCTGCTGGGCTCAGGTGATCCTTCCACCTCAGTCTTCCAAGTAGCTGGAACTACAGGCACATGACACCATGCCTGGCTAGTTTTTTGACTTATTGTAGAGATGAGGTCTCACCAAGTTGCCCGTGCTGTCTCAAACCCCTGGGCTTACCCCTCAGCCTCCCAAAGTGCTGAGATTATAGGCATGAGCCACGCACCTGACCATTTCTTCATTTTTGATAAAAGCTTATAGAACAAGGCTATAAAGGAAATATTTTGTACAGCTGTACAATGTGTTTTACATGTAACTACAAGAGTCAAGAAGCTATTACACTGGAAGTTACTGTGAGCTAATTTATTATTGAAGCTTTAAAAAGTGTTACCTAAGTGTACAGTAGAGTAACATCCTAGCCTTTCCATTCACTCACCCATAGAAGCAGCTTCTAGTCCTGTAAGCTCCATTCACAGCAGTGCCCTATGCAGAAGTATCACCCATTTTTTTAGGCTGCATTTTTACACTACCTTGTCTGTTTGGCTGTGCTTAGACACATCATTGTGTTACAACTGCTTACCACATTCAGATTTGTGGCCCAGGAGCAATAAGTTCTTCCACATAGCCCTGGTGTGTACAAACTATACAGATTTGAGTATTCCATGATTGTAACTGTTACCTACAGACTGATTGTAACATGTAAACTGAAACTACAAGGACCTGCAACTGCTCTATTAAAATCCATCAGTTAAGCCGGGCTCGGTGGCTCAGCCTGTAATCCCGCGCCTTTGGGGCTGAGGTGAGGGGATTGCCTGAGCCCGCGGGTTTGAGACCCGCCTGGGCAGCGAGACCTCATCTCTACAATAACTCAAAAAATCAGCCGGGCGTGGAAGCGCACGCCTGTAATTCCGGCTACTCAGAAGGTTGAGGCGGAAGAATCACTGGAGCCCAGCAGGTCGAGGCTGCGGTGGCCGGGAGTGGTCACTGCACTCCAGTCTGGGTGACAGAGTGAGACTCCAACTCAAACAAAACAAAACAAAAAAATCCATCAGTTTACCTTGCACGTTGAAGTAGTTTTTGAGTTGGAGTCTTACTCTATCGCCCAGGCTGGCATGCAGACGCACGCTCATTGCCACTGCAGCCTCAACTTGCTGGGCTCAGGTGATCCTTCTGCCTCAGCCTTCCAAATAGCGGGAAGTACATGCCTATACTGCCACGCCTGGGTAATTTTTTGATTTATTGTAGAGATGAGGTCTTGCCATGTTTCTTGGGCTGGTCTTGAACCTGCAAGCTCAGGCAATCCTCTCACCTCGGCCTCCCAAAGCACTGGGATTATAGGCTTAAACTACCATGCCCAGCCTGAAGTAGTTTTTAAAAGTGAACATCTTACATATAGAATTAAGGTTTTATAAAAATCAGCACTTTTCTGAAAGTCATAAAGAAAAATCAAGAAATAATTAATTGGGTATATCTTGCCTTCCGTGTTTTCTTGCAATTTCCTGAACCAGCAACATCTTTGCTCTTATATGAATGTAATGTAAAAATATCTACTGTTACAGCTAAAAAGCTAAGCTATGACATTTCAGCTTTTAAAAATGCCTTTGTAAAATGTGTGCTCTTGTACGGGTAGGAAACCAAAAAGAAACCAAGCGTGAAGCTCCAGTTTAGTTTCTTACAAAATAAATGTTTATTTCAAGTACGAAAAGTAACATCAAAAATTGTGTTCAGTTTAACAAGTATAAAACAAGACTTCTCAAAAAAAAAGCTTACAATTAGGTACAAAATACTTAAGAATATACTTTGACATTCACAGCGGACATTTTTGAAAAATAAGTTTTACTAATGTAGCTTAGAAACAAAAATACTTACAGTCCCAGTTAAATAAACAAGTCCTTTAACTGGGCATAGTCCTCCCGCAGGATGGATAGGTAACATTGCAAAACTAGATTTGTACAAGCATTCCTTTTCAAATAATGGTAAACTCGGTACAATAATGTAGATATTCAAATACCCTATGGTTTCCCTGACAAGTAGCATCTAGTTCTTCCACATACCCACAAAGGTCTTGAGCCATTTTAGTTAAGCAATTTAAACGAAATACATAACCTATGTGGGAACCAGACCATCTGACCAGTAAATCTTGATTGTGGCAATTCTGGGTATTTCCAACAAAATATTTTAAATAGAAAACGACAAGTATCCCAGTGGCACCACAGAAGCACATCTCATTGCTACTTGACAGGACTGTTCCCAAGGCTCCTGCTCCTCTTCTCCAGGTACAACTGCTTGTAGGTTTGAAACATTGCTTTTGAATCTTTCACTGGGTTTTGTAGCATCTCCAATCCATTTGCACTGTGGCTTCTCTTGGAGAGTCTTGAATTAACATTATCTGAGGGAAACAAACATTTTACTTACTTTATTACTCTTAATGTGAAGTGTGATCAACATATAACCAATCAAAATTGAGAGGGGAAATATGTGGGCTAAAAAATATCAGGGCAAGGAGTTAAGCCAACGTTTGATGACTACAGCTCTTTACCTAGAAAATGGTGAACTATACCCACATGCCACCTTGCCTTTCCTGTGGGGGCTGTTTTCTACCCTTACCTCTCCATTGCCCAGGGCTGCTCTCCACCCTTCCTCAATAAGATGGTCGTCTTTTCTGCACTTCTGCACTTCAACGCAACACGAAGAGGACACATAGGAGCCGGTCCCGGTGAAGAAAGAACAGCTTTAATACTCTGTATTCTATGTTCTAAAACAGGCCTGTACTTTTCTGTTTCTGATTTTTGGTTTAACATTTTTTATTTCAAAGATGTGGAGCATAATTCTGCACAGAAATGTTAATTATGCAAGTTAACCCTTGTTAATGAGGTTGACCCTCCCCACAGAATCCCACTACTGTCCTTTTGTTTCTTTAGACCACGTCAGTGTTGCTTTAGCCTGATTCCTTTTGATGGACCGAGTCTTCACCTTTGTGCAATGCTAGATGTGCCTCTTACCCTCAAGAACTTCTCTCCACTCACAATGCCTATCAGATACTCCTTGACTCATGATGGGAATATGTCGTGACAAACCTATCATAAGTTAAAAATACTGCAGGCTAAAAATGGACATACATATTTTTTGAGTCAGTTTCACTCTGTTGCCCAGGCTGGAATACAGTGGCATGCTCACAGCCACTGCAGCCTCTACCTGCTGTACTCCAGCAAGCCTTCCACCTTAGTCTTCCAATCAGCCAGAACTATAGGCTCAAACTACCACACCCAGCTTTGTTTTTTTGTTTTGTTATAGAGATAAGATCTCACCAAATTACTCAGGCTGATTTCGCACACCTAAGCTCAGGCAATCCTCTCACCTTGGCCTCCCAATGTGCTGGGACTACAGGCTTGAGTCACCACACCTGGTCCTGAAAACGCAATTAAAACACCTAACCTACTGTACATTGTAGCCTAGCCTAGGTGGGCTTACCTTAAATTAGCTTAAAGTTGGGCAAGGTCATATAGCATAAAGCCTATTTTGAAAAAAAAAAAAAAGTGCTGAATATCTCACATAATTTATTGAATACTATACTGAAAGAGAAAATCAGAAAGGCTGTATGGGTACTCTGAGTAGTTTCTACTAAATGTGCATGACTTTCACACCACTGTGAAGTCAGGGACCCTCCGTGCTTTCCATTCCTACTGTAGCCCTTATCTTCTAGATAATGCCAACTTGTTTGGACCCTTTCTACCTGGGTAGGTCAAGTATTCTGTCCTCTTTTTTTTTTTTGAGTTGGAGTCTCACTCTGTCACCCAGACTGGAGTGCAGTGGCTCCTGGCCACCGCAGCCTCGACCTGCTGGGCTCCGGCGATCCTTCCGCCTCAGCCTTCCGAGCAGTCGGAATTACAGGCATGCGCTATCACGCCCGGCTCATTTTTTATTTATTGTAGAGATGAGGTCTCGCTGCCCAGGCGGGTCTCGAACCCGCGGGCTCAGGCAATCCCCTCACCTCAGCCTCCCAAAGGCGCGGGATTACAGGTTGAGCCACCGAGCCCGGCTTATTCTGTCCTCTTAGTTTCTTCTGTTTCAAACCTGCAGACTTGTTTGCTTTTCTTTCAGGACTAGCTATGCTGATGTCCGGGGGAACTCTTGCCACATCCTTCCTCATCTCTTTTGCGCTGATTTCACAACCTGTGCCATGTACACTCCAACGTCTGCCGCCAAGTTTAGATGTGTGTTTCCTTATAGCTCTTTGGACGTCAAGGCACTTGTTTTCATTTCCTGTCACAGCTGGTTCGCTGCTCTCCAGCCTCTTCACCTTAGGTGCATGTTTCCCTCTTTCCCAGAGACCTGTTCTCCAAAGCAAGTTCCAGTTGGCCTTCAGGTGCCCACTGGCACCACCTGATTTTCTTCCTTCTCCCATATGCTTCATGGATTCCAGCGCTGTCATCCTTTAACAGAGCTCTGGCTTGTCTCTGCTTGGTTCACTCAGATTCAGCTCTCACTGTATTTGTGCCCTGGTTGTGTGGTTCTCTTCATGATGATTCTGCGTACACTTCAGCCCCACATTCACCATGTTGTACTGTTCATCCTGCTTGTGGCTGTTTGTCTCACTACCTGCCATTTACCTCATGCCTATCTCGAAGTCTCTTTGTTCAATCTGTAGATCTGTCTTCTGAGTAGCTTCAGTCTCAGATTCCAGACATGACCTGCTGGGCTCCAGCGTTCCTTACGCCTCAGCCTTCCAAGTAGCCAGATCCACAGGCGCGCACTACCACACCTGGCTGACATCTCTTCTTAGAAATATGCTCCTCTTTAATGTTGTTCTTGGTGAGATTCTGTCACCCTCCATTTTTGAGGTTCTGAACCCTTCTTTGCCTACTCAATAAACCAAAACTATAACAGAACTATCGAAATCTAGCCTCTAAGCTCTCAATGTCAAAGTCTAAAAACAAAATTCTTTCATCTCACTAATTAAATGAAAAACAGAAACTGCCAGCATTTCAAGTTGACCCTCAGCACAAATCTATTGCCAGGGGAAAAAAATCAGCTAGGATCAGTGTTATTGTCAAAATACAGTCATCCCTCAGTATCTGCAAGGGATTGATTCCAGGACCGTCCTCCTACCCCCTAGATACCAAAATCCAGGGAAACGCAAATCTCTTGTAGAGATGAAGTCTCGTCAAATTGCCCAGGCTAGTCATAAACCCGCCGGCTCAGGCAATCCACTCCCCTTGGCCTCCCAAAGTGCTGGGATTACAGGCTGAGCCATCGAGCCCGGCCTAAACTTGTATAATTTCTTATTGTTGTATATTGTTGCTTTTTAAAATATTGTTGAGCCAGTTATTTGAATCCATATATGCAGAAGCCGCAATACAGGAGGGCTGACTACACCTCGAACACTACACTTAATGGACTTTGAAGAGATGGGACCAGGCTCAAGTCGCTATTTCAGTCACTAGCGAGATGCAATTTAAGCGAAATGATAGAACCTCTCATATATAAAATGGGACTATTCTCCCCGTAGCGTGTATTAAGGATTAAACAAATGAACACCATTGGGGTTAATAAAACTGTAGCCCGCAGTAAACTCTAGCCTGCTGCCCATTTTGGCAAATAAAGTTTAATTAGAACACAGCGAATACATTCATTTACAAATTATCTACAGCCATTTTCAGAGTTGAGTAGTCAGGACAGAAACATTATAACTTGGAAAACCTAAAATATTTGTTGTCCTATACAGGAAAAATATGCAAACACTTTAACTAATTGTCATAAAGATTATTTTCTTGTTCAAAGTAAATAAATCTCAGCTTGGACAGCATGACATGGAAAAATAGGAAAATATCCTCCTACACAAACAAGGAATGAACAAAGAACATGGATAAAATAATATTTAAAACAATAATCAAAATTCAACTTACAAATACCAGATGGGTAGATAAGTAAATGAAACTTAGATGGTGATTTTACCTATTTCTTGGTTGTCTTCCTGTATCCTTTTCTTCGTTGTTACACATTTTAACCAGTCTTCTTTCGTACTTTTTATTCCTGAAACTATTTAAATATTAATTTTCAGAATTCTAGATAATGCTACTTATCTCCTTTAGCATTATAAAGGAAAACCATGCAAGCTGAAAATAAATTTTGGAAGACACTAGATATACTCACATATAACTCTTAAACTAGAAAAACTCCTATTTGAAGTTCTTATCTCATCACTGAAAAAACAAGTTATTCTTTTTTTTTTTGAGTTGGAGTCTCATCCTGTCACCCAGACTGGAGTGCAGTGGCCACTCTCGGCCACCGCAGCCTCGATCTGCTGTGCTCTGGCGATCCTTCTGCCTCGGCCTTCCGAGTAGCCGGAACTACAGGCATGCGCTACCACGCCTTGCTAATTTTTTATTTATTGTAGAGATGGGGTCTCGCCAAGTTGCCCAGGCGGGTCTTGAACCCGTGGGAAACAAGTTATTCTTAAAGTTTACCTTCATTATGTAATTATGGCCCCCCACCTCCTCCTGAGCTGCACTGGTGAACACACCTCAAGATATTTCAAGGGCATAGACAGAAAGTCACATTGCCCCCACCCATGTCCAACATTCATAACCTCAAGTTCTAAGGATCCAAATGAAAGGACCTACTGAAATCACCAACTTAAAATTTTGTACTCTTCCTGTTTCAAATATTACAATAAATTGACCTCTTTCCACATGAACATAAAGATTTCACTATTAGTCATTACATATTCCCTAAGATTTAAAACAAAATTTCTAATTCACAAGGCTCTAAAATTACAAGTCCAGAGAAGAATGAACAAAACCAAGATTCTTTAGAATGTAATACTTGATACTTTTAAAACTTGCCACGAGGAATGTGAAATGTTTTCACCTTGTTACTAAAAGAAGTATTTGTATTTGGCAAACCTTACAGTTTGATGTAGCTCTTGACATTACTACTAATTCACTATTACACAATTTACAATAAGGTGGTAACAATCATAATGCTAATACTGCCCAATGAAACACTGAAGTACCACAAAAAAACAAATACTAGGCCATGATATAACATGTTAAAAGTCTTTTCCAACAACCCCAGATGGCACGAGGCGCTAGCCCAAATACTGGCCTACAACTGCTTACAATGCTGGAGACACCATCAAGAAAATCATACTGGACCTTGTACGGGGCCTTGCTCCTTCCTGGAGTGAGGCTTTAAGTCCTTCCTTTCTTCACCAGCGTTTGCATTCTTTAACAGCACATCTGGACATAATTTAAACTCCAGCATGCTTGGTTTTTCTGTGATCTCTTTCACAGGTAAAAAGGTCTTAGGTTTATTTTCTTGTCTCTTCTCTTTATCTTTATTAAGCTTCCTGGGCAAACCGTCGAACTTGGTGAGACAAATGCTTTCACGTTCAGTACATTTAAAAGCAACTCGATTCAGGTATAATTTCTTTTGTTCTTTTGCCTGGGGAGGCATCTGGCTGGCTTGAATGTCATTATTTATACTGCTTAACTTTTTGTCCAATTTGGTCTTATCAATCCATATTTTGTCAGTCTGCTTCCCGCCGACCTTTTCTTTGATACTCTTTGAAATGCTGTATGATTTAGACTCCTCAGAATGGTAGACTTTTAGGTTTTTACCACAGCTCGCCAAACCATTTGATGATTCTTTAGAGGACTGTACACTACTCTGTCTCTCATTTAATTTCCCACAACTCCCTCCCTGCACAGAAAGTTTCCTGGCTCTCATGTGTTCAGAATCATGTGGTGCATTTTTCCCATGCATTTTCCTTGACACTTTATTACCCATAGTTTCTTTATGCTTTTGCCTTTGAAAATACTCCTTAGTACTTAAAACTCTACCAAGTTTAGATGAACTAGGCTTTGGGTCCGAAGACTTCGTACTTGATACTGTCTTTTCTTTAACACTGGCCTTTTCATTTGAGTTCGACAGAGAATTCCCTAATTTGAGTGTATCTCCTACATTTTTATTTGGCTCTTGCCTGTCATGTTTCTTCTTCTTTAACTCCACATCTAGTATGTCCCCTTGGTCTAACTTCCTTTTTTCCAAATGTTTTTGTTTGAGGCCATCTGCTTTGAATTTCATTTTTGCCTTTTCAGGTGATGTCTGTACCACAGAACCATTCTTACTCAGATCTTTATTTGTCAAAAAAACGGTCTTGGGTTTCAGTGGACGTAAGTTTTGTGCTACGTGTGGTTTCTGCAGGGTATGAGATGTTTGTTCATAAGATGCTGATGATTTATTACTTGAGTGAAAGGTCACCTCATGAAATTGGAGGGGCTTTTTTCTTTTATGATTTTGCGAGGAATCTAGTTTATCAGATTTAGACAAAGACTCACCAGTTAGTTCTTGTTCTGTTCTTTTTAAGCCTTTAGGCTTTGTTTCGGATATATCTTTTGTATTGTTGCCTTTTATTTCAGGGAAATGACTTTTCCCATCTGGAAGAGTCAGAGTCGTCTTTGGATTATTTGAAAGACTCGTGAATTTAACAATAGAGATGTCTTCATCAGAAGTTCTCTCTCCTTGTTTACAACTGTTGGTCTCTAAAGGAGAGCACTGCTTTTTCTCTTCCTTTGAAGTCAAGTTCTTGACGGTATTACACTGACATTGGGGTACTCCCTCATAAACCATAGAGAGCCAACCCAATGCACAGCAATGAATGTCATCTTTCTCTGAGTCCAATATTCTAGATTCACGACTTTCTCTTTCTGGAGGTTCTTGTGAGTCACACTGGTTAACCACTTTTGTGTCAGGCTTTTCTTTCTGAGCTTCCTCCAATTTGTCTACATCATTGGGTTGATCGTCCTGTTCCGAAAATATTTCTTTCATTTCCTCTGGACTTAATATTGTAATTTGTATTTGATCTGTTGAGTCCTTGGAGTCAGAACTGGTTTTATCACCAGTTTGATCTTCTGAGATCTTGTCTGTCCCCGTTTGTTGAACTGAAGAACCTTCCTGTGCACTCACAGCTTCAATGCCATAAGGAAACTCTTTCAAAAGTTCTGATAGCTGGTCATGTAGGTATAAGTCAGATGTCTTTTCATTGTAAATCTCATTTCTTGCCAGATGGTTGCCAGTTATACTGGATGAATCAATTTCCTGTGGGTAAGTAACCTGCTCAATAGTAGCTGAAGAAGTATCAGCAGCCATGTCTTCTTTTTTAGTGGTAAGTTCCAAATTGCTTCCCTTTTGGATTCCCCTATTTGCTTCAACACTGTTAGAAGATGATAGTTCTGAAGGCTGCTCTGATTGTGACTGACCACTCATTTTATGTGAAACATCTGTACACTGTACACTTTTATCTTTTTGAAAGTCAACGTCTTTATTTTCAGTGATATCTAATTGTTGTTTTTGTTCTCTGCTACCAGTCTCTTGCTGATTGGGTAGAGAAGATTTCTGTGGCTCTACCTTTTTGCAAGGGAGAGAGTTGAATATCTTTGCTATCTGGGAATTATAAGATGTATCACTTTCAAGAAGAGAACAAATACTGTCAATCTGTAATATATCACTACCCACAAGAATACTATCCCTTGATTTACACAAGGTTTGCTGATCACTCACAGGAGAATCCAAAGCAGAGTGTGACATATTATCCTTTCCTTGTCTGGCATTAGGAATGCCTTCTGAATTACCATTAGCTGATTCATTCTGCTTTTCCTGAGTTAGTGGCAAAGCCTTGGTTGAAGTTGCAGTGGTAGCTACATTAACATCAGCTTTCAAAGCAGCAGTTACTGTTGTATTTTCTGTTAACTGATTTTGTAAACTACAAACACTACCTTCTTTAATAGTTGGATACACTGTTCCAGGTAAAGCTTCAGGTGTTATTTCTTTGACAGACAATGTTCTGACCTCTGAAATAATTAGGGGTGACACTATGGCAATCTGAAGTTCTGTCCCCTTAGTTATATTTGTACCCAATGTCTCATAACCCTGTACTATCACTGAAGAAGTTGTTTCTTGTGAGGGATTAACCATTTTACTCTGAGAATTTTCCACAACTGAACAAGGATTCTTAATATAGACATCAGTAAACTTTGGAATTCCAACTGCTGTTCCGTCTGTGCTTGAGTTATGCTGCTGCTTTTCATTCATAGTTTCTGAAGATTGCTTTTTCCACAGAGAAAGACATGTTGCTAGCACTTCCATGGAACATGTACTGTCACTTTCCACAGGCATCACTTTTGTTGATGATTCATGTTCAAGGCAAAGAGAGTTGTCTGAAATCTTGTCACTTACACTAAGAATACTTGGAGCGTCCATAGCTTTCAAATTCATTTGGTAACCAGTTTTTTTGGCAATTGGATTCATTACAGAAGTGTCTGATTTAGACCCCTGAATAGTTTGGCTACCATCTTCTAATAATTTATTTTGAGTCTTGTCTCCCTGTGTTAGCAAACTAAGAAGTAGCGTATTTCTATTTGGGTATTTTGAAATATATTCCTCAAGCAACGTGAAATGGGGAACAGAATGCGTTTCACAACTTGTTGGCAGATTTTGTTTAGGGTTGAGAACATTTTCTGATGAAAGCTGGGTGTTACTCAAGGTTACCTGGGTCATCTCAGCAGTTGATGACTTTGAAGAAGGCATAACTTTCAAATTATGTAACTGGCCTGGTGTTGACAACTTTTCTGAACAGACAGAATTTACTAAACCAGAATTGACTTGGTCAAACTTTCTGCAATTGATTTCTTGAATGTTGGAATTCAACATACAGCTTGTTTTATTTGTTTGTGCAGATTCCACTACTGTTGGTGATTGTCTCTGTGCAATCTCTGGAGTTATTGAGATGACCTGTGGAACAGACTGGACTTTGGCAGTTTGTTTCAGAGACAATACAGAATTCTGACTTGATTCTCTATGAGAGGCATTGGTCATTTTAATACAGCCTGCTGACACTAAAAGATCTTTATTAATTTTAATTTTCCTTGCAAGTTCTGAAAACTTCTTTTTTATTTCTACTAATGTTTTAATATCCCTCACTAGCTTTTCTTTTGTGACACCTGTGTCCACTACTTGATTTGAAGTTGGAATGCAAGAATCCATTCTTTTCTCCTGATTATTCTGAGCAAGAGTCCTATCACCATCCATAGAAGATCTCATTGGTTCATTAAAAGGCTGCTTGATACTGGAATTCGCTTTCAAGTTGCAGAAATTCCCAACTGTGCCTACATTTTTACTAGAGTTTTGCCACTGCTGTTGAAGGCCTCTATGAAACTCTGTCCTTATTTCAGATGCGGGCGTTTCTGGACCCTGAGGAACTTCCATACCCAAGTGCTTAACATGCTGAGTGCTCTGCAGAGGCTGGCTTCTATACCTACAGTTGTAGGGAGGAGGAGCTCTTTCATCAGTTTGAGCAGCATATTGCTGTGACAGGACAGTGGCAGTCTGTTTTGCCTGTGAAGTCAATGCAGAATTTGGAAGCTGATTATTTTTACCTTGTAATGACATTGATGGTGTTGCAAATTTTTTCTGAATAGCAGGATCTTGCAAAAAGCTTTGCGGCAAGTAACAGTATTGCTTAGGAGGTGGTCTGTACTCTGGATAAGACACTCCATTAGGTGTATACTGTTGTACCCAATCCACCTGCTGCTCTGAAAAACACTGGTTAAGTCCTTGATTTCCACGATAAGTTATAGGAACTCTTGGAGGATGAGAAGGGGTCATCTGCAGTTGCATAGAATAGGTATCTGATGCTACAAGCTGATTCTGCTGTGCACAAATATTGGGTGTATTAGTTTCAAAATCCATTTGATGAGATATAGTGGTTCCTGCAAGAGAAAGCGTAGAATTCCTCACTGGTGAGTTCAACCATACATTTTGTGTAACTCCTGAAGACAGTTGCAAACTATGACTTAGTGGTTTGGGTCCTTTAACATTCGCATATGTTATTCTTTCCACTGAAGTTTGTGAGGCCATGACTGTCCCACTGTGCATATCAGAAACAGGGGTTTGCTGAGGATAATTTTGGATATTCAAAAGGGGCTGTGAAGCTGGATCTGAACTACTAGGATACATGCATGCTTCTTGGTTACTTCCAGGATAGCTGAAAAAACTTTGAGATGTTGTGGTAAGTTGGTTTACTAAAGATGGCTGAGAAAAAGATGACTGGCTTTTAGGATACAGTGGTGGTAACGTAGCACTCTTTCGTTTTGTATTCCAACTCATTGTTGACTTGATATAGTCGCAGTATAAATCAGTTGGTTTTGAATGTCAGCAATCTGTAAGAAATAAAAACCTTTTATTAAAATGCTGTTTTGCCAAACAGAATTCCTAAGAAAATTAGTACCTGCCTGTGTCTATTATAATTACTGAAACTTCAGACTAGACAAGCCTCATCTTTAATTAGGGAAGAGGAAGAACAGATGATGCAACAACTGAGGCAAGTGTCAGTGAAATTTCTGAAGTGTTTTTGAAAAAATCATTCTAAGGCCAGGTGCAGTGGCTCATGCCTATAATACCAGCACTTTGGGATGCCATGGTGAGAGGATTGCCTGAGCCCATGGGTTTGAGACCAGCCTGAGCAACTTGGTGAGACCTCATCTCTACTATAAATAAAAAATTACTTGGGTGTGGTGGTGCATGCATTCATTCCAGCTACTTGGAAGGCTGACGTGGAAGGATCACATGAGCCCAGTAGGTCGAGGCTGCAGTGGCCATGAGCGTGCTACTGCCTTCTAGCCTGGGTGACAGAGTGAGACACCAATTCAAACATAACAAAAAAATATGATTCCACACAATATAGCTAACTTTGTGTTACATTTAAATACTAATCACTTTTTTTTTTGAGTTGGAGTCTCACTCTGTCACCTCGACTCAAGCAATCCTTCTGCCTTACTCTTCCAAGTAGCTGCAACCACAGGTATGCACCACTATGTCTGGCTAATTTTTTAATTTATTGTAGAGACAAGGTCTTGTCATGTTGCTCAGGCTGGTCTCGAACTGCTGAGCTCAGACAATCTCCTCGTTTCCACCTCCCAAAGTGCTGGAATTACAAGTGTTGACCACTGCTCCTGGCCTTAAAAGTGCTTTTACTTATTATAAGTTGTTTATTCTAAATAATCTATGCTTATTGTTAAAGATAATAATAATAATAAGGCTATGCTCGGTGGCTCAGTCTGTAATCCCAGCACTTTGGGAGGCCAAGGTGAGTAGATTGCCTGAGCCCGCAGATTCGAGACCAGCCCAGGCAACTTGCTGGTCTCTACAATAAAAAAATGAAAAATAGCTGAGCGGGGTAACACACGCCTATAGCTCTGGCTACTTGGAAGGCAGAAGGATCGCCAGAGCCCAGTAGATCAAGGCTGCAGCAGCCGTGAGCGTGTCACTGCACTCTAGCCTGAGTGACAGAGTGAGACTCCAACTCAAAAAAGAATAAAAAATAAAAATAAAGCTCAAACATACAGCAAATTAGCTCTTACTGTCCATCTCCAATGTCTACATTCCCCAGGGGTAGCCAATGTTTCCTTATTAAATTTCAAGACATAAATACTAATTCATAAATAAAACATCTTTTACAACAAATGGAACCTAACCAAACACACCGTCTACAACTTGCCTGTTTTTTTATGCCTAGCATACCTTATTTCAGTATGCATATACCTACCATCTACCCACTGCCTGAGCAGCATTCCACTTTATGGGTATGCCACTTGTGATATGCTGTACTAACAAATATATTTGGCTTTTGTCTTTGCTTCCTAGCACAAAGCACCTAAAACCCTCAGGATTTCCAGAATGATACAGGCATCTTTCATTTTTCATAATGAGCCTTTTCTGCCAACATGTAAGTTTACAAGGGGGGCCTTGTTATAAAAAAATCAGTACTGGCCGGGCTCGGTGGCTCAACCTATAATCCCAGCACTTAGGGAGGCCAAGGTGAGTGGATTACCTGAGCCTGCGGGTTCGAGACCCACCAGGACAACCAGGTGAGACCTCGTCTCTACAATAAAATAAAAAACAGTTGGGTGTGGTAGCACACATCTGTAGTTCTGCGCTACTAGGAAGGCTGAGGCAGAAGGATCGCTGGACCCCAGAAGGTCGACGCTGGGGTGGCCATGAGGATACCACTGCACTCCAGCCTGGGCAAAGGACTGAGACTACAACTCAAGAAAAAAAAAAAAAATCAGTATTTATAAAAAACTGTCTATTTATTTACATGTTTAAACTTCAGTCACTTTTAATGTACTGTCCATCTGAAGCAATACACCTATTGAGATACCTTTTCCACAGCTCAAAGCAGTCTTGAACTCATCAGTTTTCATGCCTTTTAGTGCTTCTGTCATTTTTTTGTTTCACCTCTTCCACATTGGCAAAATATTTCCCTTTGAGACTTTTTTAGTCCGGGAAGCAAAAAAAAAAAAAAAAAAAAAAAAAAAAAGTTTGAAAGAATCTAAAAAAAAAAATTCACTGAAGTCAAACATAGTCTCTCCCAACATTAGCTGATACACCAACGCCAAAGGGTTCCTAGAACACCTAGCAGTAGAGGTCGGCCTCCCAAAAGATAATTCCATTTTTTTGGTGTCCCCCCCTTTTATGCTACTGAGGTGATTTAAGGTGGGCCTTCCAGATAGCCTTAGGATGGGACTGGCCAAAAAAACCAACTGTTCAGAGGGTTGGAACTTTCAGTCCCAACTACTGACTTCCAGTAAGTAGCGAGCGAAGCTGAAGCTTAAGCTCTATAAAAACTCTTGAGCACTGGGCTCGGTGGCTCAGCGTGTAATCCTACGTCTTTGGGAGGCTGAGGTGAGTGGATTGCCTGAGCCTGCGGGTTCAAGACCTGCCTGGGTGGCGAGACCTCATCTCTACAATAAATCAAAAAAATCAGCCAGGCGTGGTAGCGCGTGCTTATAATTCCGGCTACTTGGAAGGCTGAGGCGGAAGGATCGCTGGAGTCCAGTAGGTCGAGGCTGCGGTGGCCGGAAGCGGCCACTGCACTCCAGTCTGGGCGACCTAGTGAGACTCCAACTCAAAAAAAAAATAAAAAGGGGACTGCATCAGAATGAATGACCCTGTTTATCCGAAAACAATGCCAAGGTAGTGAAAAACTCAAGTCACTGACCAGGAAAATACAAATGTGATACCTACAACCAAGAGCTCATATCCAGCCTACATAGAGAATTACTTTCAAAATGTGGACAATCCAATAAAAATAAGCACAAGGCTAAACCTCCCAAGTAGCTAGAACTACCAGCACGCACCATCATGTCCAGCTAATTTTTTTTTAATTTACTGTAGAGACGAAGTCTCATCATGTTGCCCAGGATGGTTGTGAACCCATTGGCTCAGGCAATGTTGCCTCTGTCTCTCAAAGTGCTGGGATTATAGGCATGAGCCATCACGCCCACCTTCTTATGACTTTTTTTTTTTTGAGTTGGAGTCTCACTTTGTCGCCCAGACTGGAGTGCAATGGCTGCTCCCGGCGACCGCAGCCTCAACCTGCTGGGCTCCAGCGATCCTTCCGGCTCAGCCTGCCGAGTAGCCTTAACGGCACGCACTACCACGACCCGGCTAATTTTTGATTTATTGTAGAGATGAGGTTTCACCAAGTTGCCCAGGCGGGTCTCAAACCCTTGGGCTCAGGCAATCCACTCACCTCAGACTCCCAAAGCGCAGGATTACAGGCTGAGCCACTGAGCCCAGCTTGATTTTCTTAATAAGACCCTTTCTCTAGCTAATTTTATTAAAAGAACACAGTACATAACACATATGACATATATAATGTGCACGTGTGACCATTTATGTTACCGGCGAAGCTTCCATTCTAAAGTAGGCTTTAAGTAGTTAAATTTTGGGGGAGTCAAAAGTTATACATGTTGTCCCTAAACTCCGCATTGTTCAAGGGTCAACTGCATTTAAATGACAACACTTGCACACGCCTGTAGTTCCAGCTACTTGGAATGCTGAGGCAGACGGATCGGTGGAGCCCAGCAGGTGGAGGCTACATACAGTGGCCGGGAGCAGCCACTGCACTCCAGTCTGGGTGACAGAGTGAGACTCCAATACAATAACAAAAACAACAAAATGACAACACTTTTGCAAAGCTCGAAATCTTATTAGTATCAGAGAAATGCAAATAAAAACCATAATAGGATATTACACTGCCACCAGTTTAAAATCTTTAAAACTGACAGTACCACTATCATGTCCTCTATTCATCATTTGGCAAGAAAATGGAGCAAATGAACTCTCATATAATGGTGATATGAGAATATAATGATCTATAAATTGATAAACACTTTGGAAAGATGTATAGCATCACCTAAGTGTTAATAAATGTGAGTCCTGAGTCTCACTCCTAGGTATAAACACCAAACAAATGCATGATTAATAACTGCCAGCAGCATTATGTGCAGTATTCATCAACTGAAAACAAATCAACAAAAGAAATACATGAATATAATGGAACACCATAGTAACGAAAATGAACAAACTCTAGGCCGGGCATGGTGGTTCAAGCCTGTAATTCCAGCACTCTGGGAAGCTGAGGCAAGAGGATTGTCTAAACTCAGGGGTTCGGGATCAGCCTGGGCAACTTGGTGAGCCCTGTCTCTATAATAAATTTTAAAAAAAAGAAAGAGAAAATGAACAAACTCAGGTATATGCAACAACATGGATGAATATAGCAAACATGCTATTCAATGGAAAAAGCTAGACATGAAAGAAGAATGCCATGATTCCACTTACATAAAGATTTAAATATGGGCAAAACCAATCATCTATGGACTACAGTGGTACATTTTACAAGGTGCAAGAAAACAGTGGCTGGTTGGCCCGACGTGGTGGCTCACAAGCCTGTAATCCCAGCACTTTGGGAGGCTGAGGTGAGAGGATTGCCTGAGCTAAGGGGTTTGAGACCAGTCTGGGCAACTTGGTGAGACCTCATCTCTACAATACATAAGTTAGCTGGGTGTGGTGGCGCACACACCTGTAGTTCTGCCTACTTGGAAGGCTGAGGCAGAAGGATCGCCTGAGCCCAGCACGTCGATGCTGGGGTGGCCATGAGCGCCACTGCACTCCAGCATGGGTGACAGAGTAAGACTCTGACGCAAAAAAAAAAAACAAGAAAAAAGAAAACAAAAAGGAAAAAGAAAATAGTGGCTGGCAATAAAGTGGCAGACTTCTGATTGATGAGGGTGGTTACACAAAAGTGTACTCCATATATGATAACCCCTCAAGCTATATAAACTT